TACTTGTTTTTTTTCAAGCCCCCCCCCCCCCCCCCCCCCCGGAACAACGCCTCCGAAAGGCAACCAGTCACGGCGCTGAGGTGCACCAGGACGATTGGAGCCCTTTGGTGGACAAAAGGAAGCCACCCCCCTACAACTCGGAAAAGAAGTTGGAATCACGAGGGATAAGGGCGGCGGTACACGACTCACTCCCCGCCTCCCCTTCGTCTATGGCGGTGGCACAAACCAACGCGGAATCACGGGAAAAGTCCTCGTTTCAAAATATGGATTGCAGAACGCCTCCCGTATGTTCTTGCTGCTGCGAGAAGCCGCAAAGGACTTGCTGGTTTCTTCCTTTCCTCGAGAGAAAAACAAGTTAACTACGAAGAAAGCCTCCTTGGCACGTGTTACTTACTGCCTGGTAGATCGAATGCTATATGTACGCGCAATCTACGCAAAACGACACCACAAACGGTGGAACACTAACAGTCCCAGAGTACGGAGTCCCGAAATGGCTGATCCGAAAAATTACTTTGTCCTGCTCGAGCACACCATTTGCACAGCCAGGGCAGGAGTTGCGTACAGCAACGGATGGGTTTGTGCGCACGTTGCCTTTCGGTCTTTCCGCACAAAGCACGCTCTACTGACGGCGGATTCGACACGGTTGGATCAGTCAGTACATAGCATCGGCAGTCTCGCCAAACCTCACCATCTCGGTAGGACAAAGCGCACGCCCAGGAAGGCTGGTGTAGCAGATAGTAGAGTCTATTCCGTCAACCTCGCAGTACTGATGCAGAAAACATACCCGTAGATGATCGTCTCGTCTACGGTAAATCCTGCTTGCCGCAAACCCTCTTTGAAGCAGCCCCCCTCAGGGTATGGATGCCAACACTCCAGCCGTCTCATGTCACCACACGTTCCTCCTTCTCCCTATCTCGGAGAGCTTCCCGCAGATACTCCCACACGCGGGGGGTGTACTCATAGCCGTGCTTGCCGTGGTCGTTAGACCATTGACCTCGCATCCCTATAAAGCCGGGACGGAGCACGCCGGGTTCTCACCGGACCAGGCTCTCACATCACCAAGCGCGAAGCGCCGTGAGGTGTTCGGCGAGTCGCATGGAGGGTACGCTGTGACGGGGGGGGGGTGAACTCGTTCATAAGAGTTGTCACCCGGCTGCCATCTCCTACTCCTACTACCACGTGTGTCACAAGCCCTCCTGGTCATCCGGCTGAAACAGGCCAACCATGTGCCCGTCGGGGCTTCGGATCGACGCCACCGCTCCGTGCGCCGGGTACTTTATCGGCCCGTCCAGGTGGCCCCCCATCCCTAAAGCTCGCTGGACGGCATGGTCCATGTCGGGCACGTCAAAACACAACAGCGGAGAATATCTGCTCAACAGAACAGAACATTCACAAGCAGGGGCGGGATGGAAAGGGGGGGGGGTCATGTTTGCTTCGGGCAGAAATCAAGAGCGTCGATAGGCACCAAACCAACTGGGTGCTCCTTGTGCGGACACACCAGTCTAGAGAAACGGCAAGACTTAGTAGCAAACGAGACAGCGACAGTACCACAAGGGATGGAGAGGAAGCGGTGCAATGACGCCCTGACTTACGTCCGTCCCGCAGGACCACAATACGGCATGCTCAGGACAGAAGAAAGACGAGGTATGGACTGAGAGAGAGTAGAGAAGGGG